TAACTACGGAAACCAGACAAGACGTACATACCTGTAAACTCTTTATTTCGTTAGTAAACTTTTTATTAACTTTGAATCATGTGATTTGTGTTTTGTTGTTGATATGTTTGATACCCCAAAATAACACTAAAATGTTACTAGGCCTGATAACTTCAAGAAGATACAGGTGAGCAGAAAGGGAATTCCCTCGACTGCAATATTGGGATTCCCCGACATTCCGAGGTAATAAAAGTAGTGCGCCTCGGTGGGCGTGGCTTAATTTTTTACATTAATTGGGAAATGAATGCAATAACACGTGACCAATTCAGCTAATCAGATCACAGGAATTTCAATGACCACAACGAAAATTTAATTATTGAAACACATTTTGATATTTGCATTACCGGTATGTATTTAATCATGAAATACTTTGTTTAGTCTAACCATGTTGAAAACATTCTTTCGCTGGAGTGAAAATCAGGTGAAATATCACGTTTTGTCACACCTTCAGTCAGTCTGCCTCATTGACACTATGGTTTTCTGAGTAAGGTCATGAAGATCACAAAGAAAATATAAGACTTGAATTTATCTTGTCAAATGCAATGTTTATCCCTTCATGTGGTTTACTAAAGTTGATATCTTGACTTGAAAATATTAACTTTGTCAGATCACAAGATGAAATATTATTCAACATATTTTATTGTCCAAAAAGACAAAGGGCAGCACTTATTACCGCCTTCTCCCTATATACAGTTATACATAATATTGCATAATGAAAATGAACAATTTACAGTTGAAGCTTCCCATTGTGGAAACATAGTGCGCAATATATATACAGTGCTCATATGAAGGATATGTACAATGTGCTGGAAAGTGAAGACAGTGTGCATCTCATACATATCCTAATATTATACATTTTAGTGTTGAATATAGATTTAACAATATTAATGAATAACAGTTTGGAAACAATAATATGCTAGCTACTGAATCTGTTAGTCGTTTCTATAAATTTGTGTACAGACAAGAATATTTTTGTATTCAGGAAAACATCTAAGTTTGGATCACCAAAAAGAATACTATGTAGAGTTTTTTGTCCTCCAAGATTATCGATAGCTGTCAGTAATGTCTCCCTAAAATCATCATATAAGGTACATTCGAAGAAGAAATGGAATGAATTTTCACAAGGAGCATGCACACAAGGAGCATGAGATAAATTCATGCTATCATCGTTATTTGACAAGGAAAACAAATTTCTTCTATGTATTTTTATTTTTTTATTTTTCGCGTTTTGATTGAATTATAAAAAAATATCAAAATGATCACACCACTTGACTTGATTGAAATAAACTAAAGTTCTAAAGATTGTTAACAATAGTAAAATATTACATCATAACAATATAATTATTGCAAAATGACACAGTAAGCACAACTATATTCTTATATATAAATTGATATGATTAATAATCAATAATACATGGCAATAGCTTGCACAAAAGAAATCTTTTTGTTTTAAAAGTTTCAAAACATGTTTGTGGACATAAAACCAGATGGGTTTCACAATTAATCAAAGGGAATTAATGAGTTATGATTGCAATACGCATGGGAATTAAAAATAATTCTTTTTATACTTTAAGTTTTTAGTAATGTCAATATCAATTTATGCATTTGAAATATTTGAATACAAACTGTTAAAGAGTAATCTGTTTCTGTAAATTATATAAAGATCAAATGTAGATTGAACATTTACTGGACATTAATTAGTTGGGTTTTTGTTTATTTCATGACATGATTACCGTATTCGACTTAATAAGCGCCCCGCTCTAATAAGCGCCCACGGCGATATTTGCTAATATATTGGCTAGTGAACAATCCCAATTAGCACTCCTTCCGATTGATCAATGTACACACGACCGATTTATTCGTGTATAATACGTACTCGTGTGTTATATGCACCCTTAATTATGGGCAGTTAAATTCTGGAAAAATATATCTGTCTTATATAAACATTTCAGGCTGTCAACATAAACCACGGAATTTATCTTTCAACTCTGTTTTTTTCATCAAAATAATATTCTAACAAGAGCCCCCTATTTTTAATTTTGAGAGCGCCCTGGGCGCTTATTACGTCGAATACGGTAAATTGGTACAGTAAAGTAAATATCATTTTGGTAGAAATATTAATTGTTACCAAAATTACAGATCAAACTGTACTTTACTTTAAATATTTACACACCCTTTATGTAATAATTCAGTTGAAATATTACACCTCATGCTATCTAATCTGTCAACATTGACAATCAAAATAACAACTGTTCACAATCACAACAGCACAAGTAGATCGAGAGGTCTAATATTTTATTGGAATGCATTTGAGTCCATTACAATTTACATCAAATACGCAACTGATGCAAACTTTTGATTTGTTACGATTGTAAATTCTCAGTAGGTTACAATTTGATACATTATATCAACATATCAATTTAGTTAGTTTCTGACATATATCTAGATATGGTCAAAAGGTCAATATTTTGACTTCAAATACAACCCGCAAAGTTATTTAAACTCACAATAAATAGTTTGGCTTAATGGTGTGTAAACAATGAATTATTCTTTACAGGATTTCAGTAGCATTTGTATTAAGTCTGTTCAGCTACCATAAACTGCACTGGGAGTTACCAGGTGGTCATGGATATTTTAAATTGAAATCACAACAGAGCGGCCAGATTCAAATTTATATCGGTAAGGAGACCAGATAACAGTAGAATAGTTTGTCAATAAGAATAATGTTCAATACTTACGATAAAGGAACCGGGATGGTTGAATTGTCACAGTTTGTCCCGATTGCGTGCCTTGTTGACATCTCCATGTGTTTCTTGTGCTATCCAGCCTTCCCCTTCTGCTCTCCAAGCCTCGCTTTCAAACCGGAAGTAGCGAAGTGTGAAAAAGGTCAATAACGGTGAGTCGGGGAGCACCCATTCGTCACCACTCGTCCCTTTCCGTAACCTGCAAGAAGACTCAACTCTATTCGGCTTGTCCCGGAATAACACAAGTTGGTCACGAATGGAATGGGGGAGCACATACAGTTCCACAAATTCTCGTGAGGACGATCCCTGCCGTAGGTCACGTGTCTCAAAGACAAGCAACCAGTTTTCATGAGAATATTTGCTATAAAATGCGCCGCCGCAGGCTATATTTTAAGCTAGGCCCCGTCTCTTATATCACAATATAGGAGCGGGTACAGGCCAATGAGACGATGGCTGTGAACGCCTTAGAAATATTATACATACACTATATTATGTAATTTTTCATTGGTCGCTATTTTTAGACGAAGCGCTACCCTTCTACAAAAGCCTCACAGTAGTGTCACAAACTACCGTGTGCGAAATACGCATCAGTCGGAAAGCGCACGTTAAATCTCCAAAGTAAGTAAGTAAGTAAGTCACAAACTACTTTAAGTCATTTTGTTAGATGTGCCACCATCTGGTGCAGGAAAGACCTTCAACTTTAAATTGTACTTAATTGTAGGAAATTAAATTTCAAAAATTATTTTTTTCATGCATTTTACGTGCATGATATCAATATGTAAGAGAAATAATAGTAAACATAGTCTAGCGTATTCTTTGCATGAACATTTTGCAGGTTTTCGAATACACCTCCCAAATTGTGCTATGCGAGAAAAATATTTATTATACACTTGTCAGAAAACTTTGAGCGAGTATAATATTCTCAGGTATTCGAACGAGATACGCATATAGGAAATTTATATATGTCGACATATGTAGAGCCACGCATACAGTATAAATGTCGCATTGAAAATATTCTAACTTTGCCTTTCCATTCAATGACGTCAAACATGTTTATGTTTAAGTGGGTTGGCGTTCCATTTAAAAAACAAGGAATAATATATATCTGATCACGGACTTGTATAGGTCCATGATCTGATGTGACTCTTCTGACAAAATAGAAATGCGTAGTATGACTCGTATGTGGTTGCAATATATTTATTAGATGATTACGTTTTATATAATATTTACGTTAACTGTTCTTTGGACTTTGTTGCCCTGTGTGATTTTCGACGCATCTAAGAATAGTGACTTGACAGTTACATTGTACAGTAGTGGTATGGTAGAAGTTGCCCTTTACATTTTCTAGCAGATACAACATTAAACATATGGGTACCAATAGTTTGTTAACTATCCATGAAAGGTGATAGCTTTCTACATTATGTCAATGGAACAAAGATTATTTAAGAATTGACTTCAATAATTTAGTTTATGGAGTTATTTGCAAACGAAAAAGCTGGAACACTTTGTGTAAATCCGCAAAAAATATAGAAATGAATTCTTGTAAATAAATATGTCAACAATAATAACTTTGCAGCTATTTTAACCATTTAGAGGGCATGATCTAATTGTTTTAGATTTATGGGAACATACAAACGCAAACAAAATCATCGAATTTCAGAAATACATTTTTTTTAATTTTCTGTCTCTTCACATTAACCCATGAACCACTTTTAATCCGCCGTAACGCTCTAAAAGATTGGCGAGACTGTTCTCAGTTGATTTTGTTGGTCTAGTTTCCACCCAATAAAATTGCCCGCCATCAGATTTTGGTTTTCCACAGCAAACGAGCGATGACACGCTTTTTACTGGTGTGTCGCTCCCCTGTATCGGCATTAGCGTAGCTATTTTTGAAAATCCACGGATGTGACGTCAAATAAACACGCTGAGTGTTTTTAATTTTGGCCTGTGGGAACCAGCTTATACCGGCTCCAAGCTTGGCGCAAGTTGACGACGCGCATAGGGAGCCGGGAACCACCTTAGCTATATTTAGTAAAAAAAATACTCAAAACTCTCAACATCGCGTGGCTTTTTCATTGTGTGTGGAGATTACAGATCATTGGGAGGAGTTTTAAGCTGCCCCCCCCCCCGCCCCCCCGGCTCTAATATCATGGGTTGTCGCTGTGAGGAGCTTGCCATACGTGTTGCTGAGATAAAGTTGCGCAGAGGTAGCCGTCAACTAGTCTATGTCATGCGCACTCGTGAAAGGGGAATTCCCCAAGACATTTCCGTCTTTCAAACATTGGCACAGATCTCTGTACAGAAAATCCAAGTCTTATCTGTCGAAAGTCACTGCAACATCGTACACACAACCGAAAGAACTGTTTTTTTGTTTGAAGGCAGCGCATGCATTCGACAGTATTTGTTGTATGCTGTCTATACGTTGGGCAGAGGTGAGATTGATACTATTATGGTGTTGTTGTGATACTAAGGCCTACGCAAGAACACCTGGTTGTGTGTTGCTGGCTATGTTCTTGAACATATTGGGTCAGTTTTGCCCTAGGTGAAATTATTAAATGGCTCAGTTTAAACTGAAAACTAATGGACTCACTTGAGAGATTTTGAACACACATAACAGCTATGCCTTCAAAGCTATCTGCTTGTGCTAAGAAAGGGTATGAACTGTCCTACTTTTTGATTACTTCAGATGTAGCACAGGTACCAGCCAGGGATGTTTTTTAAGCCCTAAAGTATTCAACGGGATACACCCAACTCGCCTAAAAAGATTTTGACCCGACTTGCCCAAAAAATTTTTGCGCGAACTACGGTCGTTTTTTGTATTTTAGAATAAGTATGTAACTATCAGAAATACATAGTAATGCATTTTATACACATAATGTACCTAAATGTTAGTGTTGTAGCCTCGGTCCCAATAGCGTAACCTACTGGGCTCTGACTCACTGACTCAACATGAAGTGCAAATGTAAATATGACAGAAGACAAATTCTATGGATGATACGTAGTTTTTTTTATATTATTTCCATACTTGTGTATGAATATACTAGTAATTGTGATCATTAGACCTAACCTAAGTTATATTTGCCAAACGCATACCAAAATATTATATATATTTTTTAGGCGAGTCGGGTGCAACTCTATTCAACAGGTGAAATGACACCTTGGAATAATGTTTAATAGGGGTGAAAAGATACTACAAAGTCAAGGTGCGACACATAGGACTCAATATGATGCATGTCACAATACCCATATTTACTTCAAATTGCATTGAAATGTCATGACTAGAAATTACTTGACAGAGCTAGTTCAAAAGGAAAAGCTAACTGCAGACACATGTTCATAGCGGCTATTTTTAGTAGTGAACTTGAAATGCTCATTACGACACATTTTGCTATATTTGACTGACAAAGACACTGGTGGTAATTAAACGAGTAGTAAGTAATTTAGTTTCATCCCATAAGAAATTACGGTGCACCGATGTATCATTTCACCCCTAATGTTTGCACCTAAAATATTGTTGTTGGGGTTGAATGTCTGGGAGTGTCAGAGAGGCTTCATCATACATCAGGGATTTAAATAATGCAATGTAGTCAGTCAATAAAACATGAGTAGTATAGGTAATGGGGGTTCTGCCGCAACCCCACTGGAGCCAGATTTATATATCTATACTGCTACTACAGATGGAATTTTTTATGAAAAAACGATGATGCTATTCCACGATCGTCATGACTCTAAACTAAATTGTAATGAAAATATTCTCTATTATTTTTACTCATACGCATACCATTATTTTGAACAAAGTGATATTCAACATTTTTACTAAGTTCTTCGTTCTATAGGAGACCAGACTATATACTCTTTTTCGAAATTGGAAAGAAACAATTGATGACCGTATTTGGTAGGTTTGACATCACTGATATAATATATACCCTGTGGTAATTCTCGCCATTTGATTGGCTCCATTATTATATACTTATGTAAGCACTCGTCTAAATTATTGTGGTGTGATCCAACATGATCAAGCAATCTATTTTTAATCTCCAACCAGTTCTTTGGTTTTGGCACGGAACAATTGATGCGCTTGTTGTCTCCCCTGTTCTATGAACTTTTTTTTCTCGTCTTTGCTAATACCCTGGTCTTAAGAGAATTTGATCGAATATCTTACAATCAGCCAGTGCTGTTGAAATATGGTCCTCAATGTTGTTCAACTTTGCTTCGGCGAGTATCCGAATATTATCATGTTTTAATGCCTTCTTTTGCAACCTACGAGAAATAAATTTTATCGCTATTCCTGCCAGTCCAGAGACTCCGGCGGCTATTTCCATGCCAAGTACGATAGGCGCGGCGATTTTAGTTGATAATAAACCAACACCGGCTACACTGAGTCCCATTCCAGCTGTTACAAGCGCAGTGTCAACTCCGTCAAGAGCATTCACAGCTCTGTGATACTTTTTCTACAATCCAAGTCTCATCTCCCTCTCCTTCTCTATTCGATGTTTTATGTCACTTATTTGATGTAATCGAAATCCATCAACAGTATCCATCTTTTCAGATGCTTCATCGAGCGCCGGATATAAACCCAGTGTATATTATTATATCATATAAAAGTCTTTAATTGGTCTTGCTTCAATGTTTTGAGAGTATACATCAACCTTATTAAATGTATATTATACAGCATAAATATCTTAGTAAGAGAAATGCTATCACCTTTATTAACTTGGACCCCCTCAAGGTTTGCAACGGGTGATACTCCCACATAAATAATACTGCACTGTTGACGCTCATGTTGCTTGAGCCATTAAATTGATAGATCTGGTAATATCTCGAAGGCATCTACTGGTGAATCCCCAAACAAGACTTCAATAATAAGAGTAGAAGGATTATGTATTGCACTCAAGTTCTGTTTTATATCATTGAATTCAGTAACCAAATTTAAACTGACATTCTTTACTGCCGGACGAATCAGTAACATATGACCTGGGTTTTCCAGCAGGGGAGCGACTAACACACTTAGTTTTGATGGGATATAAGCCCTGAGTATGATCCCTCTATTAATTATCTTAGTTAATTGATGTCCCTTACCCATCATAACATATGGTGGGGTAATGACGATATTCAGTAGCCACTCGATTTTTTCGTCGATCATAGTCCATTTATTATCATCGTTGCAAGTAAGATGGTATGAAGAGTTTTTATTGAGTCTACTAACGTCGACATCGCTTAAATCTTAGATTACCTGTGAATGTATACATTATCTTATAAGTGTAAAGCGTATAACTTGCCATCGACACCGGGTTTACCAAATCCTTCTGTGTCTCCGCGATTGGAAAGCGCAATTGTATTACATTGTCTAAGGTTATGCGATCCAGGGCCTAATGAATCAACCATTATTTATAATATAGAGCGTTACACTCAAGTATCCTATATGTACAGGTTGATGTTTTACATCTAATACAGAAATTTTGAGGTCTGAAATAATACCCCGTTTTAATTTTTTGTATTGTAATGATGAGAAAGATTCCGTTCTACCGCTATTATATTTTGACTTTGACTGGAATAGCTCTTAGCAGAGTTGAAGGACTTTCGATTTGAATATTATCTGCCGACTTATCTGATCAAGATGGATGCACAACTCTTTATAGGGAACTAAATCGGGTAATTTCTCTCCCTGCTGTGTTTCGTTGGGTGGTATTACTGTCATTGAGCCTCCAAGTCCAAGTGTATCTGCTATGTTCGGGGCAAGAAATATTTGCCTTTCTCCAGTGTTTAATTTCAGCATCCCATTTGACTCATTTTGTGTCAGACAAAAAATCATCATTGAGTTAGCACACGCTGTAATACCCATCAGGTGTAATGTAAATGTTTTATCATCTAATTTACTTAATATCATCTGATTATTATATCTCGCAGCACTTATATTTGTCCACCGCGGGTAATATGTTACATCGCATAGAGCGACTTCAAGTTGTCCATCCGAGTTATTGATAGTATGAAGCAGTTGAATAGACTGACCATTTGTTATTCCTGGGAGTGTAACATACATATTAAATATACAAAGATACTATATCATAACTTAAATATGAAATCAACTTACATTACTAATCAGTCGATTTTAGTAAGTGCCTCTGGTGCTCATTTTTTTGTTAAATTCCCTGATATCCTTGAAAAATACAGGGTCACGGCAACAAGCGATAAAATGGTGCATGATTGGTTCCACAATCCGATGCAATTTTGGCAGAACCATTTAAACTTTGCCGTATGGTGTGCCACACCAGGATGTGGTGTATCTCTTTATGCCCCAGGATTTGAACTAAATAAGTCTGTTTTATCATTTCACATGTACTATCAGATTAGATGTATTCTTAAAGATATTAGTGCACCATTACCACAGGATCGAGCATCTAATTCCACAAATAATCCATACGATAAGAGGGCCTTCGAACATATTTGTAATGAATTTAATATTTCTACGAGTAAAGATTGGCGTATTAAAGGAACTAACCATAGTTTCGGCGTTCCTTACACACGGAAAATAAGTGTCAAGAAAGAAAGCGATGATTTATTTAAAGAAGTTAACAAAGGTCCGTTTAATGCGTTTAAGTTGTTGCATACGAGCAAACTTTACATAAGAATGTATGATTTTTTTTCTAAAAACCCATCATTGGTATAAAGACTGGGAACTTTTGAGTAACGATTGGAGAGGAGATATTATGAGTTTTAAGAGTGGTTTAATTTATATTGTTACAAAATTTGTACAACTGAACGATACCGCAAACGCTTGGAATGAATTTCTTAATGATAAAACAGAAAATAATTTTACTTACCCAGGAGTTGTAAGAGTTAATGAATCAATAAGAACTTATGTATGGACCATTCTCGGTGCATAATCACAAACACGAACGTCCATTATTGGTTCTGGTATGGCGCTTGATGCGCAAAAACAGTTTGTCGCAAACGTAGAGGATGCTATCAATTCACCAGTTGATATACCATCTTCTATAAAGCGTTATCAAGATGTATTACAGTACGCTGAATCCAAAGTAGACTACATTTATGCGCAGGGACTATACATGTCTCCGAGTAATATGGAACTTGAGATCGGTCAAGTAATTGGTTATAATAATAAAATTGTTATTGCTTCCGATCAACAAAAAAAAGGTATAAATTCAGATATTAATACCGAATTAATAACGCAAACAAACGCAGGCGAAACGGGAATATTCAAGCCACAGTCACCACAACATTCACAGACACCACATGTTTCACAGCCATCTACTGACGCACAACCACATATTACAGCTAAAAATCAACAACATATCAATGAAAAAACAGTGCTTATAGTAGGTGGAGTTGCGGCTGGTTTACTCATGATTTGGATAAATAGTCTTTAGCGGATACGTACAACAGCCCTGCAATTGCTATGATCAGTGCCCAC